GTAAACAGTCCTGTAGAGAGCGGCTCGGAAGAGAGGGGCGGGGTCAGCAGAGCTCATTAACATTTAAAAGAAAATGCTACAAAACGGCTTGCTCTGAAAAGAGCTGTTTTTGACAGGGTAAAAAAAGGTGTTTTTTACGCTACCATTGAGACATTTTAACCAAACTATGTTACAGACCTTTCATTAAGAATCATATCAACTTGTGGAAAATGGGCATCCGATGACCCCTTTAAAAATGTTTACTTTTTCACTAACCATGCATAAACATTATTTTCTGAAAAACACAAACATGTACATTCATGCCGCTTACATACTATTGTAGCACAGTTGAATACAGTGCTGAATACAGACTTAATCAGACTTAAGCCATTAATATGTTTTTAAGATACTGAAAAAAGCACAAATTTCAGGGCATGTCAAACCTTCTCCAGGGCCCCAAAACCCCCTCAGACCCCAGAGGGTTAAAGAGCTGGCTGTCTCGTGCATTTATAACAACCTGGAGCTGAACATGCTCAAAACAGTGGAGATGATAGTGGACTTCAGGAGAAAACCCCCAGCACTCCCCCCACTCACCAACATGAACAGCACTGTGGCGGCATAGTCATTCAGAGCCCGCCAATCAGGTGAATGCTTGAACATCATTGGCTATTGCAGAGCAATAGAGTGATTTCAATCAGGCTTCAGTATTTTGGAGGAAAGGGGTTTCCCTATATGTAATGTTGAGAGAACGACTCGATAAAGGAACTGAGGACTCTACTCTTATTGAAATTTATATTTTTTTCTACTGTAGTATCACCGGTAAAACCGTTAATTTATCTTATTTAATAATTTTACAATTGAATTTAATAGTTTATGCATTTAGCAGACGCTTTTATCCAAAGCGACTTACAGTGCATTCAGGTTATACATTTTTTACTAGTATGTGTGTTCCCTGGGAATCGAACCCACGACCTTTTGCGCTGCTAACGCAATGCTCTACCACTGAGCCACTGGAACATATTATTTTTATTATTAATGATCAATTATTAAATATTTTCTTATTTAAAAAAAAAAAAAAAAAAAACCTTTCTACAAAACAATGGTATTTGTTAAGAAAAAACAGTAGCATTTAGTATAAATACAAATTAAAAATAGATGTATAAAAATGTACTCTTTTAATACATTTAATACAATGCTATATCAATATTGTAGAGCAATGATATTCAATATCAATGTAATTTCTCCTGTTTTCCATGTGGTTAAAAATGGTGCCTTTGCAATACAAAATACTTTGTATGTATTGATTGTGTTACCTCATAAATTAAGTGTAGCATGACGTGGCATGATGTCGCAAGGCATTCTTGTTTACTCTAATCTCTTTCTGAATGCAGTAAGTGGCAGCTCCCCAACAAAAACAAAAATGCAGCTGAAAGCTGTGAATAATGCTGCATACACTTATTCCCTTAGTTAACCATTGAGGAATATAAATATTACCTGAGAGCAACTGTCTTAACCTCCTGAGACCCTGCATCCTCATATGAGGAAATTATATTTTAGTGAATTTCTCTGAGATTATACATGCCACAGTTTTAAGTCTGGATGTCCTGTACAGAGCACATTCAGGGCTTTTCAGAGATACTAAATGTTTGGATGTTTCACCATGACCACAGTGATATTTGGTAATTATCATTTAAATCGGACTAAATTTTAAACTGTGTGTCATAAATCAACATCTCAGGAAAATGTTATGTGGTTTCAAATCAAAATATGACTGTTACGAAACAGGACGTTGATTTCATACATGTCCTCATATGACTAAAATCATGTTATTACGCATTTTGGGAGACAAAACGAATGAATAAGGAAAGAAATTATATTTCAATATTCCTATGAAAATTGTTTTTGCCTATGCATGCTCATTCATGTCTTCTTATTTTATTTTTTTTAAATTGAGTCCCGATGTCCTCTACCAAGGACATTGCATAACTTATGAATTAAATATCTTTTTTTTTATACTCTAAACAATGTAATGACATGAAAAAATACTAATTTTTTCCTAAAATGTTTTGCCGGGTTAAATTAGTTTTGTATCTCATGTTGGGACATGTTATTATTTTCACAGGTTTTATGTTTGTTTTTGTATGTGTGTTCCAGACTGATGGCCTATGTGCTATAGACCTGTTGAGCTGTGCTGGTCTGATCAATCATTTTGGCCGCAGTCGTTCAGTGGAGAAACTTGAGATCAGTCCAGTTCTTCTGCAGAAAGGAAACACCAGGATTGCACTGTATGGCATTGGTGAGTTTATAACATTAAGCAATATGACATAAATTACTGTACTACGTCACAGATTTTTAAGGAAGTCTCTTATGCTCACCAAGGCTGCTTTTATTTGATAAAAATGCAGTAAAAACAGTAATATTATGAAGCATTATTACAATTTGAAATAACTACTTTCTATTTGTATGTATTTTAAAATGTAATTTATTCCTGTGATGAAAAGCTGAATTTTTAGTCTTCAGTGTTACATGATCCTTCAGAAATCGTTATAATATGCTGATTTGCTGCTCAATTATTATTGGTGCTCAGTTATTAGTAATGATTCTTATTATTAAGCAGTTTTTGCTGCTTAATATTTTGTGGAAATATTTTTCAAGATTCTTTGATGAATAGAAAGTTCAAAAGAACATTTTTTTTTTTTTTTTTTTTTTTTTAATATAGGGTCTTTTGTAACATTATAAATGTTTTTACTGTCACTGTTGATCAGTTTGCATATTTCCTGAATAAAAGCTTTCATTTCTATTAAAAACAAACACTCACATAACCCTAACATTTGAATGGTAATATATCATGATTTCTGCATAAATATTAAGTAGCACAACTGTTTTCAACATTGATAATAACAAGAAATGTTTATTGAGAAGCAATACAGCATATTAGAATGATTGCTGAAGGATCATGTGACACTGACTGGAGTAATAATGCTGAAAATTCAGCTTTGCATCACAGGAATAAATTAAAATTTAAAATATATTACAATAGAAAACTTTTATTTTAAATTATAATGCTGTTTTACAAAAAAATTTTTACAAAAGTTTTTACCATATTTTTGAGCATATAAATGCAGCCTTGGTGAGCATAATGTCATAATGTTTCCAAAATTTTGATAAGTACTGTACATAAAATGAGGGGTTATTTATCTACACATTATATACAAATGGAAGTCAAGAAAACATAGGGAAAATACAAATATGTTCATTGAGAATGCACGTCACAGGGAAAAGCATCCCTGTATTTTCACACAGGACCACAAGGCATGCTTTTGCACCAGAAAGACGTGATCTGTAAGGGGAAGCCTTGTTTTATTCTTAAGACCCAGGTATACTAATTTTCTGCATTCTGCTACGTCTTGTGCACAGCTGTGTCTGCACAGCTTTCAAATTATACTCAGGCTTTAGTCATATGTTTTACTGAAGTCGATGATCTGTTTGTGCTTAACCAGCGGGTCTGTGAACCTCTCCCAGAACCATATTGCAACAAGGAGCAGAGCACATTAAACATGCTTTAAAAATATCACGTTGCAAGCTAATAGAGATGGGAGAGAATAATCCCCAGCAACCACCTGAACAATTGTTTTGTTTTGTTGTTTTTGTTTTGTTTTTTCGCTTGTTTGTTTTGCAAATCACTGGCCATGTGTCTCAGCTGCATCAGCCTCCAGATAGAATTTTTGTGCTTCCCTCCCAAACAGCAAATGATTCGCTTAATAGAGAGTGTAACTTTGCATGCCAAAACATATCTGATGCTTAGCATAGCTTGTATGCCACTATGCAAATACTTACAAATTCATGCTGCATGAATTGTTGCTTTCTTTTATTAGCTTGTGTAAAAAACCAAGCACAGCAAAAGTTCCTCACAGCAAAGTTGTCTTCCTGCTGCTGCTATGACTGCTGCTGCTGCTTGTATTTGTGTGTGGTTGGTTCATTTAGGAACTGATAAATACAGACTAGGGGCGGGCGATATGACCAAAAATATTATATCACGATACAACTATTAAGGTATATACGGTATATATGAATGCATGGGTCAATGTTCAGCATTGCCCATTGATGTTTGGTCTTCATATTTTCAGCACAATGTGTAGGTTAATCTGGAATTGGTTTGGAAAGTGAATTATTGAATAGGAAAAACCTTAAGACATTGTTCTAAACTTGGACTTTAAGCCATTCAAATAGACCTAATGACAGAGGGGCCATACCATGGCCACCTCTGACAACATCGGCCAATCAAAACGCTGGAACTGAAAGGCGCCAACTTGCAAATCCCTCCTCCTCAGGAAAGGTTAAAAGGTTCTCTTCAACACAAAGAAGTGTGCTAAGCTATTGTTACTCTGTAGTGTGTTAAGCTGTTGTTGCTAAGAGAAGTGTGGTAAGCCAAGATGTGCTAAGCTGCTGTTGTTGTACTACTGAGAAACATGGAAATTCTGCAAGGAGTGAATTTGGGGAGTTTGGAAACTGCCACAGCAACAACGACCACAAGCTTAGTGCTCCCCCATCTTCTGCAACAACTTCAGAACCTTCTCTTCAGTGAATCCTCCATTTGCAAGTTCCAAACTGCTAGGATCGTCTCCCACAACTTCAGAATCGTCTCGTCAAGCGATCCTTCTCCTGTGTTTTCCTGGTTGTCCGGATCTTCTGTACAGACTTCAGAACCTTCTCTTCAGTGATCCTCCGTTTGCGAGTTACAAACTGTTAGGATCTTCTCCCACAACTTCAGAATCGTCTCATCAGCGATCCTTTTCCTGCATGTTCCAGGTTGTCCGGATCTTCTGTACAGACTTCAGAACCTTCACCTTCAAGGCTCCTCCGTTTGCGTGTTTCCAGACAACGGACCTTCTCGGTGCTCAGGAGTTCATCATTCACTAGTGCTTCGTGTTCAAGACTGTGAAACGTATCCGACTCCTTTCTTCTCACTGCAGCGTGGCCAAGGTCAACAAATAGAAGACTTCGTGGCCCAGACACAGAACGTAACTATCACTCTTTCCAAACCTCTTTCCAGAGACCGTTGACATTACAGTGTATTGTCAGTTTATGATTATCTAATTGGCATTAGATTTTATATAGCTGATGTCAGTTAATAACAAATAATCTCTTGATTTATTTGTTGAATCTTAATAAGGTTTACCTTATTAATTCCAGGAAACTACAGTTCATCTTTACATAAGATAAAGTCCATAGTAACATCCAACTCAGTCACTAGCATCTATCAATCTTTTGCACTTTATCCATTCATTGTACCCATTTTGTAGTTGTTAATTACTCTTGTCTATCCTTTTGTTAATAAAACCCCTTTTATTCCACTTGTGTCTTCCTTGTGTTGACAATTCAGTAAGAGGCTCTACAAGTTAACGATTCTCTAAAATCCTTCAGATTGGTCAGACTACAACTTATTTATTATTTATTCAACAAGCTTCAGTGATTGTTCTTTACTGTCAAGGTCAAATTCCTGGCTGGTGCCCCGTAAAATAGTGTGACCAAAACTAAATATTTATATTAATATTTAAGCCAAAGCCATTACACTGGTGGTGCTACTTAGATTTGAAATCACTACATTTAGTGGTACCCCGTGTGAGGCTATCTAACATCTGAAAATCACTACATATTCCTTTAAGTGCAGATCAGAGCGGGTCGGGGTTGTGAGACTGGGTTTTTAAAACTGGCAATAGAACACATTCAGATTGTCAGCCAGTTGTTTATTTTCCACAGATCGCGGTGGTGGTCTATACTTGGTGATTATTCTCAGACCTGTTCAGACTGATGCCATGTCATTGGCTGAAAACTGTTTTTTCAGCTTTTCAGAGTAGCTTTTTTTTAGCCACTCTGATCTCCTTTCTTAGTCTGTTTCTGGCTTGGTTATACAAGATTTTATCCCCACTTCTGTAAACATCCTCTTTGGCATGACAAATCTCTTTGAGCTTCCTAGTAAACCACGATTTTTTATTGTTGAATGATAAGAATGTCGTTGTAGGAATGCACATATCCTCACAGAAACTGATGTATGATGTTACAGTGTCTGTGAGCTCGTCCAGATCGGTGGCTACAGCTTCAAAAACACTCCAATCAGTTCAGTAGAAGCAGGCTTGTAAATCCTGCTCTGCTTCCTTAGTCCATCTTTTAACAGTCCTTATTACAGGTTTAGCTGATTTCAGTTTCTGCCTGTATGTCAGTATAAGAACTAGACCGTGATCACAGAGCCCCAAAGCTGCCTTTGGGACAGAGTAATATGCATCCTTTATTGTTGTAAAACAGTGGTCCAGTATATTACTGTCTCTGGTGGGACATGTAATTGCTGTCTGCATTTTGGCAGTTCACAGGAGAGATTTGCTTTATTAAACGATTAGTTCACTTTCAGAATAAACATTTCTTGATAATTTACTCACCCCCATGTCATCCGAGATGTTCATGTCTTTCTGTCTTCAGACGCAAAGAAATTAAGGTTTTTGAGGACAACATTCCAGGATTTTTCTCCATATAATGGACATCAATGGGAACCAACGGGCTGAAAGTCCAGATTGCAGTTTCAGCAGCTTCAAAGGGCTCTACACGATCCCAGCCAAGGAATAAGGGTCTTATCTAGCGAAACGATCAGTCCTTTTCTTAAAAGAAAAAAAAAAAATGTATATACTTTTTAACCACAAATGCTTGTCGCGCACTAGCTTGACTTCACGCATTACACAATCACATTGGAAAGGTCACTCGTGACGTAGGTGGAAGCACCGATCCAGCATTTACAAAGCGAACGTGCAAAGAAAGTCAAACGCCCTTTACAAAAAAAAGATAAAACAGCGATGTCGGTCGATTTTGAAATTGGAGGAGAGGATTATATGGAGTTTTTCGCCCTACCCTACCTTTCTGAACCGGAGTGCACAGACAAAGAGCTAACCGCGCTTGACCTTTCCAATGGGATTACGTAATTCATGAAGACGCTCGCATGCGTGAGCTAGAGCAAGACAAGCATTTGTGGTTAAAAAGTATATAAATGTTTATTTTATTTTTTTTAGAAAATGACTGTTCGTTTCGCTAGATAAGACCCTTATTCCTCGGCTGGGATCGTGAAGAGCCCTTTGAAGCTGCACTGAAACTGAAACTGTGCTCATACACGCGTCTGGAGGGATGTAAACATTCACAAGAATGAATGGTGAAAACTCTCGTGGCAAATAGAAAGGTTTACAATTTATGAAGAGCACCTCTAAATTAGGAGAGCACATCTTCTTCAGAGTTGTTACATCTGAACACCAACTT